TCACATGTGGAGCATAGAATTGTAAACATTCAATACGTTGATCGTGTGCAGCATAGAGGAACAAATATTCCAGCTGCCTCTCTGCTGCCAACCCTGCATGACGCTTCCATCGCCGACAATGCGGCGCTGCTGGGCAATCGGATTGAAGTACTCCTCCCCTTGTCTCATCTCTCTCAGCAGGCTCACTCAAAGTCATGCGAGCGCCTGGCCTGCGACTGGATGTTTCCGTATTCGCTTCCAGATTTTCTGTCGGTCCCATCCTGGGGTATTCCTCTGCGCTACCCCTGGTGGGGCCACCATGCACATTGGCATAACTTCGCTTCTTGGAAACACTGGGCTTGGGGACAGCATCGCGTGCGCTCGGGGTGGACGACAAAGCCTCCCAATGCCTCAGCGCCCACAGAATATAGTCTCGATTTTTACATGGGGGCAAGGAAGGTCGGTGCCACAAAATCTGTTCAATGGCTTCATGTGCCAGGAAACCTTCTCTGGCCATCAAACACGCGGCCAGCGCCGCTGGGCTACGATGTACGCCGCCGTAGCAATGGAAGAGCACGACTTGTTTCCGCCCCAGCATAGCACGCTTGGCATTCAAAGTGCGCGCGATATCTGACCACACCCGACAGTTCCTTTGGGCTTGCTGCGCAGCGTCGGATCTTTGGTCACTTTGACCGTCAAATCATCCAGATCATACACACATTGTTGGACGTTGTGCAGGCGTAAATATACAGCCCAACTCTCTGGTGTCCCTTTGGCCAGCAAGTCCTTGGCACAGACCGCCACTAGCGTGTCTACTTGGACGCCACAGCCATGTGCCACATCGGCCAAGTTCGCCACAGATTTCCAACTGCCCAGGACATAGACCATATCGTAGGACTCATAGACGATGGTCGCATCCAAGGGCCAAGCACGGAGATCTCCCAAATTGTAGGGATGGTTCCAAATTACGTAACCAAGAAGCCTCCAAGGTTCTTGGTTGAAGTACCTCTGAATGAGAGCCTTCATATCATCGTTCCACTTTTGCGCACAAGGTTCCACAGGCAATTGCGGCAGAGATGGCTGCATATGATCCATACCAGGGCAAATTCTCCGAATCCTAGATGAGCCAAAAAGCTAACCCTAGAGATAAACATGAGGACCAAAAGTCGACAAGTCTGTACCCGCGTTCAAAACACAGTTTACCCAACAAGTCCTGGTGCCGCCGCAGGTACACGGACACTCGTCCTCTTTATAGGTTTATAGTGTCAGCAAGGTTGGCCGTGTAAGTGAAAAGGACGACTATACATATACTGCACATTAGGTTTGAGGCCATCGCTGTTAGGTTTGAGGCCATCGCTATTAGGTTTGAGGCCATCGCTAGTAGGTTGGAGGCAATTGCTAGTAGGTTGGAGGCCATCCCTATTAGGTTGGAGGCCATCGCTATATATCAGGTTGGAGGCCATCGCTAGTAGTAGGTTGGAGCCATTGCTATTTAGGTTGGAGGCCATCACTATTCGGTTGGAGGCCAT